ATGTAATATTTTTCAGAGAGAGGGTCAAATTTTTATTTTTATTCATCTAGATAATTTATGTATTTTGACCTTTATTCTAGTTCTTTTGCAATTAGTTTCTCAAGATTTTATTCAATAGGTTGATTTCAATTTCAGGAGATTCTGTTTAAAATCTAAAAAGCGCAAATTTCTTATCATATCCTGATATACATCATCTATTTAACTTAGGTCAAGTAAATTCTTTCATCAAATTAGTTTCTGTTAGAAAAGAGAAATAAAATTAGTTAGAAGCCATTAATATTGAGATCTTGATAAAAAACTAGAAGTAAATATATATTTATATATATTGTTATTCAGATTAATAAATAGGTGGTTATATAAAGATGTTAAATAAGGGCTGCTCTGCTTTATAAAAAAACAAATGTAACTTAAATTTTCTAAGAAAATTAGGAATGAAGTTATAAAAATTAAATTTTTACTTCTTAATATCTAACTTTCATCTATATTTGAACCACCATACTATTGTATTAGATCGGATAGTCATATCCTTTGTGTGATCTTTGTTTTTGAATCAAGTTCAATATATTTTCACAAATTTTCAACATCAGCTAAATAAGACATTTGAGATTTGATGAAAATAAAGTGAGAAGCCTATTAAAGAAATAATATTTTACTTATCGCAGACTAATGTTTAGAGAAGATATTACCATTAGCATATTGAATGAAGTTGTATTTGTTTTTGATTTTGTAGGCTGATAAAATTCTCATTTGATTCTTCTTCTGAATCCAGATTGTGCTGTATTTTTTCATTCAATGGAGAGTAGGAAATAATTTTCTTCTCCATTTATTAATGGTTATGAATATTTAAGTTAGTTTTGTTTAATGATTCACTCTTATATGACCTATAAAGATATTTTTAACCCCATAATATGCTTTGAAAAGGTTCTTGATTATTCTTTATCAACTTCTTCTCTACATTTGAAATTGTAGTAGAGTAATTAGTACCTTTTTATTTATAATAGTTATCCAAAAGGTCAAGTCTTGCATTCCTGTTGGAGACTATTCTCTTCATATGTGAATGCTGTTACAAGCAGTTTTAGACAAAAATTTTATGGTTTTGTCTTTTTGGACTAATTCCTTTGCTTTTTCACTCAAAATATATCTACTTCGTTTACTTCTGCCATTTGTGTTTACTACATTTTCACTGTATATTTAGTTAATTTCTGCTGTTAATTCTCCCATCTACAGCTTACCTCACTTTTTTGTCTGTCGTTTGTCAATAAATATCCTTGACTGATTTATAATCTATTAGAGATGATCAACCATTTCTTATCTACTATTGTATCCTATAACTATTTGGTCTTATCCCTAATCATCCTTAGCCTCATTTAAATACAGTTACATTATGAGGCTAAAATATGCTTGGTTTGAATTTTCCTTTCAATTCTCACAATAGATAACTTAATTTTACATGAAAAATTAGGAAAAAACTAACAACAACTTCAAATTAAAATCTATACTTTTCAAACTTTTCAGTTTTTAAATAATAAATGCCCAAACCATGTTTAATGAGAGGAAATTTGAAAATATAGCTTGCACTCATAAGCTATTTAGCATCATTCCAATGTCAAAAAAACTTGATTCTTAGATAGATGATATCATAATCAACAGTAATTTATTTGTATTTTTCAAAGAAATCATATATAAAT